ACGCGCAGGCACGCATTGAACATGTCCAACAAAACGTGTGGCTTTTCCGCAGCTATTATCTTGAGGACTTCGGACGGCACCCCGTCCGGACCAGGGGCCTTTCGCCCCGGCGTCTCCGATGCCACCGACCTCAATTCCTCGAGAGTGAAGAGAGGTACCTGTCCTACACTTATGTCCTCCCCCCTCCTAGCGGGATGCTCCGGAAAGAGGCAAGAGACCACTCTCTCCAAGAAGGAAGGTTCCATCGACGGCGCCGGGTCCGATCCGCGAAGTCTTTTTAACGCGATCCGGTAGCCCAGGCCCCACGTGTCCTTGTCCACCTCGGCGATGAGCTCGCGCCAGCATCGGTTCTTGCTCACCTTGATCGCCCTCACCAGCGCTTTTTTTGCTTCCTTGTACGCGGCAGCAGCTGCCCCGGCGCCTTCGCGAGTTCTGTGTCGCTGTGCAAGACGCCGTAGATGCTGCGCCTCTCTGCGCAAGTCAGCAATGTCCTCTGTCCACCAGTAGCACGAACGTCGACCCCTCCCGGCAGACCTTTTGGGCATACACGCGTCGCACCATTCCTTGACCCGTCTCGTAGTGCCACTCACGAGTGCCTCAGCCTCCGCTTGATTATTGATCTTGTTTAAATCGGCTGGAGGCGGCGCGCCAACCATGGCTTCCAGTAGCAAATCTCGGTTGAGTTTTGCAACGTTCCACCCGCTAACGCGCCTTCGGCTTACATCTCGCGAAGTTGCACCACGATCCTCGTGTATCACGAAGCTGACGTACTGGTGATAACTGTCTGTGTAGTCCTCCAGGACTTGCCAGTCGGAGACCCGTGCCGCCATTTCTGACGACACCAGCGTGAGGTTGATGGTCGTTCCCCGGTTGCCAGGTCGTCTGAACGTTGCTGAACCACCAGAGTTCATGACGATGAGATCCAGCCTTGCAGCGATCTCTAATGCCGCTCGTCCTCTGGGGTCGGTTCTCGGCTCCCCCCAAGCGATGGCCTTGGAGTTAAAGTCGCCGGCCAGGACTACATTACCACTTTCCCTGCACACTTGAACGGTATCCTCGAGTTCGGCAAGCCGATCTCTAAAGACACCAATCGAAATGTTAGGGGATATGTAGCAACTCACATAGAAAGCACTCCCACACCTGATCCACACGAACCCGTCTCCACCTCCAGTGTCGGATACGGAGAACTTCTCGCTGCGAATCAGGATGGCTGCGCATTTTGTCCTGTCGCAGTACTAGCCCCGGCCCGGTAGCGTGCGGGATGGCTCACTTATGAAGAGCATATCCACACCCCGGGCACGAGAAAACTGGTCCAGAAAATCGTGCGCGAGCACGGTACTATCAAGATTCACCTGCAGGATCAGCGCCATTTCCTCGAAGCTATTCCTACAGCCGCCCGTAGGGCTCCACACCTGTCAGACCCAGCGACATGTCTGGTATCCGGCCTCGGGTTCACGTTCTCGCACAGGTAGCAGCTCGCTTCTTTTTGCGAGCAGCTCCTTGCTACGTGACCCTTTTTGCCACACCTGANTAAAAATATTTATTCCGTTGAACCGTTGACGATTGCGGTTTTGTGTCAACAATATAAAAACTCTAACAATTTAAAAATGATTGCTAACCTGCATGCATGAAATGCAACCATTACCTTATATTTTAGTCTGCTAATGATAACACCTACAGTACCAATTTTAGAAAATTTTTTTAACTATTACAAAAAATGATTCAGCCCAATTAAATAAGCTACTTTGAATTAAATGTATTCGAAAACAGTAAGTAACGCTCAAAATACTACCGTTTTATTTTTTACAAGTAATAATTTCTCGACATGGAATATTTTGGACACCTAAAGTATAGATTTCTTCTAAATAAAAAACTTTCATCGTAGTTACGGTAATTTAATGAACAAAACACAACGGCTTATGATTTTTGATTTGTTAATTAAGAAGCTCGTAAGGTAAATGGGTTTCAATAGCTTGGGTTAATGGTTTTGAATCTGTTAATGTAGATCGCGCTGGGTAAATGGGTTTAAAGCATTTGGGTTAATGGTTTTTAATTTGTTTATTAAGAGCACGTTGGGTAAATTGGTTTAAATTATTTAGGTTAATGGTTTTTAATTTGTTAGTTTAGAAGCGAGTCCCAAACTCTTAATAACTGTGTTCGAAAAACTCTTAATAAAAAAATTTACATAATTTTCATCGTAGATACGGTAATTTAATGAACAAATACGAAAAGAGATAATTATTTTGAGGTTATACAGAAGATGACTAAGAACTCAGGTTATAAATAAGACAGAAACCTGACTGCATTACTATTAGTTATATCTTTTTAGGCAATTAATACGTTGTTAGTATCATCAAAGTGTACAAAATGTCGGCTTTTGTAAGAATTTTTTCATATATTGCAAAAAGTTCATCCACCATATTTGATTAGCCATATTAAATTTAATGGATTTGGTGAGAAATCATCGATTAACATCCTAAAAAAACTCCTTCTTATCATTTTGTATAGGTTTTGGTGATTATTGAGTAAAAAATTTTTTTTTCAGCCGCCATTTTGATTCCGCCATCTTGAAAATTACGTTTCACGAAGAATATTTAACCAGTGACCTTGACGAGTCTTGCAAGCAGAAATTAATGCGTTTTTCATAGTGATTGAATCAATATGGTAAATAAGTTGTGATAAATTAAATTTTTTTGAGGTTATATGCGATATAACTAAGAAATAAGCTTTTAACTGGAAAATCGAGCCAAAGGAATCGATAGGAAATTTTCTGACGTATATTAAAAAAAAAAAAAGCTTGATTCGATATAAATTAACTTCAGTTAGTACGTTTGAATGAAAAACCTCACTTTATTCCCACTGTGCGGCGCCTTCACGAGTTCTGTGTTGCTGTGCAAGACACCGTAGATGCTGCACCTCTCTGCGCAAGTTAGCAATGTCCTTGGTCCACTAGTAGTACAAACGTCAACCCCTCCCGGCAGACCTTTTGGGCATACACGCGTCGCACCATTCCTTGACCCGTCTCGTCGTGCCACTCATGAGTGCCTCAGCCTCCGCGTGATTTTTGATCTTGTTTAAATTGGCTGGAGGTGGCGCACCAACCATGGCTTCCAGTAGCAAATCTCGGTTGAGTTTTGCAACGTTCCACACGTTAACGCGCCTTTGGATTACATCTCGTGAGTTTGCACCACGATCCTCGTGTATCACAAAGCTAACGTACTGGCGATAACTGGCCGTGTAGTCCTCCAGGACTCGCCAGTCAAAGACCCGTGCCGCCATTTTAGATGACACCAGCGTGAGATCGATGATCGTTTCCTGGTTACCAGGTCGCCTGAACGTTGCTGAACCATCAGAGTTCATGAAGATGAGATTTAGCCTTGCAGCCATCTCTAACACTGCCCGTCTTCTGGGGTCTGTTCTTGGCTTACCCCAAGCGACGGCCTTATAGTTAAAGTCGCCGGCCAGGACTACATTACCACTTTCCCTGCACACTCAGACGATATCCTCGAGTTCGCCAAGCTGCTCTCTGAAGACACCAATCGAAATGTTAGGGGATATGTAGCAACTCCCATAAAAAATACTACCATACCTGATCCACACGAACCAGTCTCCACCTCCAGTGTCGGATACGGAGAACTTCTCGCTGCGAATCAGGATGGCTGCGCATTTTGTCCTGTCACAGAACCAGCCTCGGCCCGGTAACGTTCGGGATGGCTCACTTATGAAGAGCTAATCCACCCCCCAGGCCCGGGAAAACTGGTCCAGCAGATCGTGAGCGAGCACGATCCTATCCAGGTTTACCTGCAGAATCAACGCCATTTCCGCTGAGTCCTCACTGAAGGCGCCCGAGGTGCCCCACACCCGGCAGTCCCAGCGACATGTCTGGTGCCCGGTTTCGGGACCACGTTTTCGCACAGGAAACAGCTCACTTATTTTTTCAAGCAGTTTCGTGCCACGTGACCCTTTTCACCGCACCTCCAGCACGCCCCAGTCCCGTCAGGCCCGCCACACTGCCTCGCAATGTGCCCGAAGCCCAGGCACCTGAAGCAACGCTTAACCGGGAACTTTTGGCGCATCCTGCAGTTAACCCAGCCCAGCCTAATGTGGTCCCTTTCTTCAAGAATCGGGGCCGCCGTCGCAGGTACCTCGACGTAGGCTATCCGGTTTCCTCTGCTCGTTTCAGACGATAACCGCACAGCCATACAAGGTAACGCCCCTTCGTCAAAGCAGTAAAAGGCTGCTTTGACGTCCCCCTTTGTCACTGTTGGGTCAACGTCCCTTATCTCCCAGGTCGAGCGCGGGGCCAGTGTCCTCACACCACCCGCGTCCACCACGGCACTTTCATATGCCTCGGCAAACGCATCGCGGTGCTTGGACTCAGTATTTTTTAGTTCGACGAGGACACCTCCTGTCCTCGTCTCCCTGACAGATCATACGCGCCGAGTCCGATAACGTCAACCTTCTTCATCAGGGCCAGGACCTCGGCATACTTTTTGCCTTGGGCTAGCACAACCAATATTGCCTCAGGCCTGACCCTGGGACGTCTCTTCTTCGCGACTTTAGGGATTTTCTCCGTACCTTTTTTGGGCTTGTTCCCCTTAGCCTCTTCTTTTTTCTTTTATTTCTTTTTTTGGACCTTCGTCTATTCAGCTTTCTTGGCTAGAACTTTTGCTGGAACACTCTCTGGTTTCAGCTGAGGTCCAGCCCCTTTTGCCTTTTTCACGGCCTTACTTGGCGTAAGCTGAGGGCTCGGGGTCTTTCCCCCTTGTCCTCACTTTCTTTATCCTGCTTTTCCAGCCTTTGCCTGATTGTTACTTAAAGGCAGTTCTTCTTTTTCTCAGACCTGCTCCTGAAAGCACCTCAGGACTCTCATGGCAGTCACCGCCGCAACGACGTTAGCCTTTATGGTGCCTGCCGTACTGGCGTGCCTCATCATAAGCACCCTGAGCTCATCCAAGGCCCTGGCTAGGTTGTCGAATGCCGCATCAGCAGCAACGTCCAACTCTCTCTCCTGCTCGGGCTTCTCCACGGTATCCTTGATAAAAGGGTGTTCCCTCCCATCCATTTCTCCTTCCCATCTTCCTTTGGTTGTTAAAATGAGCACCATATCTAGAACACAAAAAGTTCATCGCAAGGTCCCCACCGACCCATCTGGATCCCTCACTGGTGGAGGCCGCCAACCGCCCCCAACACGTGTCTGAAGGGCGGTTTTGGTCCGGGTAGGTAACCCCAAGATATAGCACGCCCTGCCACCCTAGCCCACCTCCACTCCCTCAAGCATTACGCTCCAACCAGAAGCAATCCACTCTCTGGAGAGTTTCCGGCAGACATCATGTGGCAGAACGCACTTCCCACACTGAGGGAGCCGTGGAGAGGGGCAGGCCAGCAACGCCACGCCAGCAATCCTACCAGCCCAACAGGGAACCGCCGAGCCGAAGAGGAGCAAAATCAGAGCAGGAACTGCGACGCCTCCACACCCACCTAGCCCAGCAGGCCTCCACCAAGCCAATAGGACCGCAGCAGCAGCGCGACCAGCCCACCCCCATCCACGACCACCCCAGTGTTACCCGATTGACCGGACCGGGTTAGAAATCCGGCCTCCCGTCTTGCAGTCAGCAGGAGCAAAAGACAGCTTAGATTACTATGGCATGCAGTCTAGGTCTCGCCTTACTGCCCAGAATCTCCCTTTGGCCGCTAACGAGTCGCACCGCATGGCAAACACAGCAAGCCTTCTGTTCTCGGCTAGGGACTACTTTTTAGGAGTTCCCAGAAATATTAAACTAGGTAAAGGGGTATTGTTAGAGTGTAGACGTGAAGTTCTCTCGTTTCATGTCAGCCCCAGTCCACCAGCCAAGGTGAATACGACCACCACATTATTAACACTGGTCGAGTAAAAGATAACCAGCTGGTGTGCACTCAAAGTGCCCTCCATGTAGTTCTTCAATGGCCAGATTCCTTAGTTTAAAGGATCGCCACATCTTTAAGAATCGTCGGAAGTAGAAGAAGTAGTAGTAGTAGTAGGAGTAGTAGTAGTAGTAGTAGTAGTAGTAGTAGTAGTAGTAGTAGTAGTAGTAGTAGTAGTAGTAGTAGTAGTAGTAGTAGTAGTAGTAGTAGTAGTAGTAGTAGTAGTAGTAGTAGTAGTAGTAGTAGTAGTAGTAGTAGTAGTAGTAGTAGTAGTAGTAGTAGTAGTAGTAGTAGTAGTAGTAGTAGTAGTAGTAGTAGTAGTAGTAGTAGTAGTAGTAGTAGTAGTAGTAGTAGTAGTAGTAGTAGTAGTAGTAGTAGTAGTAGTAGTAGTAGTAGTAGTAGTAGTAGTAGTAGTAGTAGTAGTAGTAGTAGTAGTAGTAGTAGTAGTAGTAGTAGTAGTAGTAGTAGTAGTAGTAGTAGTAGTAGTAGTAGTAGTAGTAGTAGTAGTAGTAGTAGTAGTAGTAGTAGTAGTAGTAGTAGTAGTAGTAGTAGTAGTAGTAGTAGTAGTAGTAGTAGTAGTAGTAGTAGTAGTAGTAGTAGTAGTAGTAGTAGTAGTAGTAGT